GCGGGGCCTCGGCTGACCGCCCGGCCCGGAGCCCCGCTCTGCCCACGGCGGGCAGCGCTGCCGCGGGTGGGCGGCGCGGGCTCCTCCGGGCAAGAGCACAAGTGATCAGCAAACACACGTGTGGCTCAGCCAGAAGGAACAGGATTCCTTGGATGCCTTCCAGATCCGCCTGGCCCTTTCTGCGTGTCTTCGTGTGTGTGTGTGTGTGTGTGTGCGCGTGCGTGCGTGCGTGTGTGTGCGTGTGTGTGCGTGTGTGTGTGTGTGTGTGTGTTCGTGTGTGTGCGTGCGTGTGCGCGCGCGCTGGGGTTTTTTTTTTTTCCCCCTCGCTTGCTCCAGGTTTTACTTCTGGTTGCCTGTAAGGGTTTTGCTCCTCCCTTCTGAAATCCTATATTAGCTGTGGCCAAAGCTGGGTAAGAAACACAGCTCATTGTTGGCAAGTGCCGATGAGCCTCGCGGAGGAGTGAAAAACAGCTTTGGGTCTGCGGCAGCGGCAGCAATAGCAATAATATCACCATCACGTAAGCGCAGAGGAGAGAGCCAGGGAAGCCCTCTCTATGCTGGGTGACTTTTACTGACTGATTTCACCGACACCTTTGAAGCGACAGAAGAAAGAAGCAGGGAGGTGAGTGTGGAGCTTCTGTGGCTGGTGTTGTGTGTCCCTTTTGTGTGCAACAGGAAAAAATGTGACTGCTTAAATACACGGGGGGCGGGGGAGGGAAGGTAGTCCTCAGCTGTGTGGCTTAATCTCCTTATCTGTGCAGTACTATATTTAAAAAAAAAAATCTTCGGACTTAATTCCAAAAGTTGCTGACAAGGGCTAGATGGGACGTATTTAATTCTTTGCTTGTTCTCTGCAAGTTATCGAGAGTGTCTTTTAAAAATGTTCCCTTTCCTGGCAAATCCAGGGGGCTTGGGAGCCTTTTGAACGTGTTGGGGAGGAGGTGGTCGTTGCTGTATGCAACGCTTTCCGCTGATAGGTATGCAGAAGTTGAAGTGGGAAGGCGTGTTGCTCGTTGGATTTGCAGAGGGGACTGAGATTTTTGCACTGCAGACTCGTCTTTTATTTTTCGCTTTGTACTCTACGGTAGAGTCGTGGTAGGAGATTTTTTTTTTTCCTCCCTCTTTGAAAGAGAGGACGGCGGGACCAGCCAAGTCATTTCTCTCAGGGACAGATACATGCAGCGAGTTCCGAAGAGGGAGATTTGATGTCTGAGGGCTGTTTTTTTTTTTTTTTTCTTAATATATTCCCATGCTAACTTTCTAGGTGGGAAATGGCAGACCACATGATGGCCATGAATCACGGGCGATTCCCTGACGGATCCAGCGGGCTTCACCACCACCCTGCCCATCGGATGGGAATGGGTCCCTTTCCTACCCCCCATCACCACCACCAGCAACAGCAGCAGCAGCACGCCTTCAGCGCCTTGATGGGCGACCATATACATTACGGAGCTGGAAATATGAACGCAACTAGCGGGATCAGACACGCCATGGGGCCCGGGAGCGTGAACGGAGGGCACCCTCCCAGCACCATGCC